TATGCGCCTTCGGCGCTAGTTTTAAAAAACTTACACAATCTCACAACAAGGGACAGGAAGCGACTGTTGCCCCAAAGTTTACAAGAGAAAACTATGGGTGCGACAGTTCCAACATCCTAGTGTTCATTCTCTGTTTTGGTTGCACATCAATTCCGCAGTACCGGTAATGTCAAACCCAAAATCTATGTTAATATCGTGATGTTTGGACGGTAATATTTGGAATACTGTTTTTATTTCTGGCATTTTTGTCAATAAGCTTAGTTTGATTTTTTTCAAATATCTTCTTGGCCCAGTTTTCTTGTACAATTCACTCAATGCTGTGATGACTTGACTTTAGACACTCTGGAACTGCCTGTTCAACTGTCTAAACTGTCAGTCGACATCAGCTTCTGGCAAAAGTGTATGCGCTGGATTTTGAAACACCAACTGCATTTGTAATATCTGGGAATGATTTTTCCATTCAAAAACATTTCCACAGTTTTCAGGCAAATGGACTTCTCTTGTCAACTGTGTGATGATAAATAAAAAATGCAATAGTTTGTAAATGTTTATCCATTTTTAACTTGTCAGTTGACTTAGACCAAATGAACATAATTACCCAGCCGTTTGCTGCATGTTATGACCGAAAGTTTTGTAAAAATATGGAAAAAATGATGCAGATTTATTTTGTGAAAGTTGACTTGTTTTTTGAAAACATTTTGAACTGTATTTAACCATGATAGATTGGTGAATTTGCTGGAAAAGTTAATCTAAACCGCTAGTCTTTGTATTTATTGTAAAATTATTATGCTTGTTTTGCAGCCGCTACAGATTAAATCGGTCATTGCTGTTGAAGGACTGAAAGGGTACATCTATGTTGAATCATATAAGCAGACCCATGTGAAACATGCTATCGAAGGAATCGGTAATCTCCGTCTTGGACTCTGGACCCAGCAGATGGTACCAATCAAAGAAATGCCAGATGTTCTCAAAGTTGTGAAAGAAGTTGTAACTTTAAAACCAAAGTCTTGGGTTCGATTAAAGAGGGGCGTATTTAAGGATGATCTGGCGCAGGTAGGTTGCATTACTATTCCTGTATGTGTTTAATCGTGTATGGTCAAAAAAATCAAACTACCGTAAAATACCTCATATAAGCGCCACTTTGATAGATTTTCATTTCTATCTGGCGCTAATTTGAGGTCACATTTTGGCAACTTTGTTGCAAATGGCGCTTAATTGAGGTCAGTAATTTTTTCACACACTCAGAACTACGGTAACGTTACCTTACAATCAGAGGAATCCTGTCTATACAATGTACCGGATTCTGCCGTAAATTCGCCCTTGGCCGTTAAACGGCAGTTTGGTTTTTAAAATAAAATGAGACCAAGAAATCGCGTTTTTTTTTTTTAAATATTTCGGCTTCTTTTTTCGGACATTTAAATAATTCTGGACACCTATTCAAGAGAATGATTTTTATCGTGAGTAACGTGAATGGGTAAGCTTCGTTTCGACAATGAGCTGTTATCATTGTAAACAATGTTAAATTATTCTTCAAATGCTCAGTTTATCTTTCCAAAACAAATAATTTCTTAATTTAAAAAAAAATCATGCCGTTTTCCCATGGAAACCAAGCCAAAAGATCGCACTACATTATCGGTAAATCTCTTCCGCGTTGC